TGTGAGCCCATGCTGAGCCCTGGCCATGCCTGAGCCCTGGCTCAGCCTGACCCTGGCCCCAGTCTGGTCCTGTCCTCCCCTGACCCTGGCCCCAGTCTGACCCTGCACCCCAGTCTGGTCCTGTCCTCCCCTGACCCTGGCCCCAGTCTGACCCCGCACCCTAGCCTGGTCCTGTCCTCAGCTGACCCTGGCCCCAGTCTGACCCCTCACCCCAGTCTGGTCCTGTCCTCCCCTGACCCTGGCCCCAGTCTGACCCCGCACCCTAGCCTGGTCCTGTCCTCAGCTGACCCTGGCCCCAGTCTGACCCCGCACCCCAGCCTGGTCCTGTCCTCCCCTGACCCTGGCCCCAGTCTGACCCCGCACCCCAGCCTGGTCCTGTCCTCCCCTGACCCTGGCCCCAGAATGAGCACCCCTCCCCCTATTGCAGCTCTCAGGCCTCCCTGGGACAGGCTCCTTGTTACCCAGGTGCTCCGGGTGGGTGTGGGGTGAGGGGTCAGCAGTGGCCAGGCCTGTGGTCCCAGCTGTGCCTTCTGCAGGTGTGTCTCATCGGGGACTGTGTGGGGGGCCTCCTGGCCTTTGATGCCATCTGCTACAGTGCGGGGCCCTCGGGCGACAGCCCTGGCAGCAGCAGCCGGAAGGGGAGCATCAGCAGCACCCAGGTGCGGGCCAGGGGGTGGGCATGGTGGAGGGGTCTGTCCTGGGGAGCAGGGGCCTCTCTGAGGGCAGGACTGTTAACCCTTGACACATGCACCACGAAATCCAGGTCACAAAGTATATACTGTATCTCAATCTCACAGGAGTAGCAAGCGATTACTACCACAGGGGAGGAAACGGAGGCCCCGGGGGGCTAATTTGGGGTCGGGTCCCCAGGTAGCTGCCCCGAGTCCCACTAACTCGCCAATCCCTTTGGGGGCAGGAGACAGCCCTGTGACTAAAATCCCACCACGACTGGATGGCGGCTTTCATGCTTCTTTTGGAAGATGCGCTGCCTCTCACGTCTAGGAGAGAGGGGTTCCTTGTGGGTGGGGAGGAGGGGGGGGCCCAGAGTCCCCAGTGACTGCGGTGTCCTCCTGCCCTCTCCTCGGTCCCACAGGACACCCTGGGGGTTGAAGAAGAATGCAATCTGGCCGGCAGCAGCGGCTCAGCAAAAGCAGCATTGACATCTCCAGCGTGTTGGAGGACGAGGAGCCCAAGAGGCCGTTGCCACGGAAACAGAGCGATTCCTCCACCTATGACTGCGAGGCCATCACCCAGCATCATGCCTTCCTATCAAGGTAACCATTCCCTGCGTCCCATCTTCCTTCGGCAAAGCACCCGGAGCAGAGAGCACCTCGGCTTAGCGTCCAAGGGGTGGCTCAGGACCAGTCCTGGGGTGGCTTGGGGCCCGGAGTCCAGCCTGAGCCCAAGGCTGTTCCCCATGGGCCCTGGGCTGAGACCCTGGGCTCTGGACTCTGCCTCTGCTCCACCCCAGCTTTCAGGGGGAGGGGACAAGCAGCCGCACATCCCCGAGCCTCAGGCTCATCTTCTGCAACATGGCAAATGCGGCCCAGCCTACTTTCCTGGCGGTTTTCAGAATCTGGTGTGTGTTTTGTGAGCGACTCCAGGCGTGTGTTCTCACTGTTTCTCAGACGAGGCAGTAGAGGCCACGTCAGTCAGGGGGGTTCCTGGGGCCACACAGCCAGGGACGAGAGCTGGGCTCGGCCCTGGTTCCCCAGCCCCCGGTACCCAGCACCCTTTCCTCGTCGGTGCCAGGGCCCCCATGGAGCCGCCCACCCTTTAACCTTCTAGAAGGGTCGTGGTCATCGACACCGGCTAACTGAACTATCTGCACGTTGTTCAGGATACATACAAGTAGGTATTGAGCATAGACCCGCATCGGAAGGAACGCCTCTTCTCTTTCTCCTCAATTCTTTCCTCTGTCGCTCCCTCCTTTCTTACCTGAGTGATAAGTAGCACGAGGCCAGCTCAGCATTTGGGAAAGAGACCACCTCACCACCCAGAGGGAACCACGCTAATGCTTTGGTGTTATTTTCGTTCAGTATATATATTTTTTTTACATGCTTTGCAATTAGTGTTACTTTAAAAAAAACCCCACACACACCTACCCTTATAGTGTGATTTTTTTCCCCTGTATAATTAAAAATACTTGGTAGAGCCCTAGCTCAGTGGATAGAGTGTCGGTCTGTGGACTGAAGGGTCCTGGTTCGATTCCGGTCAAGGGCACATGCCCAGATTGCGGGCTCGATCCCCATTGGGGGGCGTGCAGGAGGCAGCCGATCAGTGATTCTCTGTCATCATTGATGTTTCTATCTCTCTCTCCCTCTCCCTTTCTCTCTGAAATCAATAAAAATATTTTTTAAAAAATAATAAAAAGTAAAAATACTTGGTAGATGGCCTTAACAATATTTTACTGAGTAAACGGACACATTTACTTAATCCCAGTCATTGGACGCTTTGGCTTTTTCCAATTCTTCAAAATTATAAATAGCGCCCTGGTGAGGACCTTCGTGCATCAACATTCATGTGCATATTAGGGCTATTTTGTTTGCATGCATTCCTGAAGGAGGAATTATTAGGTCAGAGGCGCTGCATAGTTAAATCTCTGGCCATTTAAAGCACCTCCGACAGACGATTCTTTAAGAGAAAAGCAGTTCTGTTTCAAGTCTGAGCTGCAAGGTACAATCTCCACATTTCTGGTTCATCCTTGAAAAATCCTTTAAGAAAACCCCGCATTTGAAGAGTGACAAGAAGTTGGAGGCTCTCGGTAGCTGGTCCGACGATGCAGCCAGCTTTTCCCTCCGGTGCAGGGACAGATGGCTGCTTCTTTGGCAATTAAGTAGTTGGCGGGTGTTTAGGGACCACGCTGTACATGGAAGACGTATTGTTGAACGCCAGTCATCGTCCTCACGGCGAGATGCTCACACCGCCCGAGGCAGAGGCGTGCGGCGTGCGGGACCCTCGCTCACACCCCGTTCCAACTGTGATTCCTAAAAGTCCCTTTCTCCTCCAACTGGAGTATGTCAGTCGAATCTGCGTTCTATTCATCGATTCATCAATCACGTCATCCCACGGGATTGTCTTAAACGCGAGGCCGCCAGCTGGAAGGTCAGGGAGGGCCCAGTTTTCCTGCCCTTCCCGGGCAGCCTGCTCTGGGCCTGGGGCTAAACATCAACTCGGACTCTTTGGGGGCACTGGGTGCCTGGGATGCGAGTGATTGGAATTCCGTGTCTGGCCGTTTTCTCTTTAAGCTCTGCTTCCTCTGCAGGCGGGCGGGGAGGGAAGCCGGAGCTGTGTGCATCTGTGTCTGCGGGTTGCCTGGAACATGAGTTACAACGAGAGCCCTAATCTGGCAGGACTGACACCGCCCAGCTGGTCTGTGTAGTGACTGGCTGGGCTTCTCGGGTAGCTGGGGCCGGGATTCAGTGTGGCATCACAGACCCTGCCAGCGCGTGGGACACTTAGTGGGCCCAGGTCCTCGGCCAGTTGCAGTGGATCGAGTTTCATTGGCCGCGCGGATTTGTTTAGGTGTCGTCTGTGGCTGCTCGCCCTGCTACACGGCGGAGTTAAGTAGATGTGATGGAGACCATATGGCCCTCAAAGTCTAAAATATTTACCATCTGGCCCTTTACGGAAAGAGTGGGCCGATGACCCCTGCCTTCGCCAAATGTTGGCCAGGCCTCCGTGGCCAATGCTGAGAGGTTGCCAGCTTGTGTTGATGGCGTCCAGCGCGTGGACTCTGGTTCTGGGCCCGGCCCCAGAGATGGAGGGCTGGGCTCTCCGTACCCAGACCTCAAGCTGCCCTGCTGAGCGGATGCTTCCCTTCCACGGCCCTTCCCTAACCCGCCGCCTCTGTCTCCCCGCTCCCCAGCATCCACTCGAGCATGCTGAAGGATGAGGCCGAGCCCCCTGCGGTCAGCCTGGGCCGCTTGGACTTCGACGTGTCTGACTTCTTCCTCTTCGGCTCGCCCCTCGGCCTGGTCCTGGCCATGCGGAGGACGGTGCTGCCCGCGCTGGACGGTGGGTGTGGCACAGCCTGGGGCTGAGATGCCTTTGTGTCACTAGCCCACTGTGTCAGGGCCTCAAGTTGGGGAGAGTGGGGCGTCGGGGGCAGGGGGAGGGTGGGTCACAGAGTTGGGGTAGGTGGACAGAGAAGAAGGAGGAGGTGGAGGGGGAGGGGAGAGGAAGAATGGGGGGGTCGTTTCGCAGATGGAGCAAAGGTGAGGCAGCCTCTGGTGGGTCTCACTGTCCTTGTCACATGCCCCTGGCTGACCTGCGGGCCTGTTGTTCAGTTGTCATGCTCTGTGGGAAGAGAAACCATCACTAGTTACCCTATGGCCCCCACCCTCTCCTTCCCCAGTGCCCAGGTAGGCCCACTGCAGCCAGGCCCGCCTCGGTGCCTTTGCTCATGTCACAGCCTTGAATGCCGTCCTCATTCCTCTGAAATACACACCCAGGTGGTTTTCACCGGCAGGTGGCTAAGCCATGATTCTGAGGATGCAAGAGGCTGGAGGCACCTTGCAGATGCACATACCAGGGCTTCTCAAACTTCTTTTGTCCCAGAGCTCACTGACGACCTACAGTACAGAACAGAGAAACAGGGCGGGGCTCTGCATGACGTGGGGAGAGAGAGGAGGCGGGACCCCACAGCTGCCCTGATGTCACTAAGGTACCCTAAGGCTCCCTGGACGTGGTCAGTCCAGTCCCCTGACATAGAGGGACAGGGAGACGCACGGAGGAGAAGGAGGCCTCAGTGGAGACACCTGCTGGTCTGTGAGAGAAGTGTACTGCCGGCTCTGGCAAACCAAGAACTACCACCAGGCTAGGAGTTGGGTGGGGGCTGGAGGAAGGGCAGCTGACCCTGAGGAAAAGAGCCTGGGTTGGCTGCATAGGTCAGGTAGCCACTAAGTGAAAGCTGAAGAACTGAAAGGGGTCTGGCCAGCGGAGCAGAGGGAAAAGGGCCTGCTGGGAGGAGGGCAGCTTGAGCCAAGGCCCAGAGAAAGCTAGCCTGCTGGGGCGTTTCACATGGCCACCGTGGTGCAGTCTGGGTGCCTACAGCAGCGCTCCCAGGTGGGACCGATGGGCAAGGCCTTGAATGCCAAACTGAACATGTGGCTTTGATGCTGGTGGCGGCAGGGAGCCATGCATTTCTTGAGCAGAGGAGCAGGCTACGCACAGCTGCACTCAGGGAAGCCTTCCAGGGCCGAGTGAGCGGGGACCAGCAAGGGGCTCCCTGTGTTGCTCCCAGGACTCCAGGTGCGTCCAGCCTGCAGCCAGGTCTACAGCTTCTTCCACTGCGCAGACCCCTCCGCCTCACGGCTTGAGCCGCTGCTGGAGCCCAAGTTCCACCTGGTGCCGCCCGTCAGCGTGCCCCGCTACCAGAGGTTCCCGCTGGGCGATGGACAGTCCCTCCTCCTCGGTAGGCTCCTGGGGGGGGGGGGGGGGGGGGGAGTGTGTGCTGAGCCAGAGGCTGGGCCCAAG